AACCAATCATGTTAAAGGTCAATGCATGATCCACGCGTGATCAGCCACTGCATAGCGTATGCACCATAGGGATAAAAGGCACGCTGCAACCCCAGTCGGGGTCCTTGCCTGCAAGAGTGACCACTGCGTTGGTGCTCTGGGGCTTGGACCCTGGCTAGCCAGAAAATAAACCTCCTCTTGTGTAATTACATCCTCGATGTCTCTGCTTTTCTGTCCGGTGGGGCTGTGGAAGGTCGGTCCCTAACACTCCAACCCCAAATTCTACCCTTTCCTAGCTGGAAATAAAAGGGGTAAGAGTACCTGTTCCATGGAGGCCTGTCCCATGGAGGCTTTTCAAAACAGCCCAACTATGGATGTCCAATACAAGAAAAACTGGATTTCCCCTGGGCTGCAGAACCAAATCTTAATAATGCCTCAAAACAGATTCCCATTTACTTATGTAGTTTCCCTCTCCTTTTAACTATGAGTAACATTCCTCTCCCTTTTCAATACCCACAGGTATTTTTTAAAAGTTGAGAAAGTAATGAGATCCACCACCCCTCATAGAATTCCAAATGAAGCCTACTATACCAATTAATTAAAAGAAAAATTGTGGCTAAAGACAAGAGAGTTATTATTATTCATGCACCAGCATTCTTTAAAAGATGCTTGCGGAAGCTCTGAGAAATGTGGACAATTAAGGTTCAGGACCTAAGAATGAATAATAGAACAGTTCAGGAGAAGGCTTTAGTAAAGCTTTACAAAGCTTGAAAACATCATACTAAAGGACAGAGAAGACTCAGATGAAAATATTAATACCTTTGACAGGGCTATAAATTAGGGAAGAGCAGAAAGGTACTCAACATATATTTCATTTCAAAATTTAAATTCTTCCACGGATCATTCCTACATTCTTTCAAGAGACTAGACAGATCGTTCTTTCATCTCCTAGGACCAAGATAAGATGAGGAAATGATAAAAGAGCCAAAGACCTTGGCCAGGAGAGGTGGTTCATGCCTATAATCCTAGCACTCTGGGAGGCCGAGCAAGGCAGGGGGCTCTTTTTTTTTTTTTTTTTTTTTTTGAGACAGAGTCTCACTTTGTTGCCTAGGCTAGAGTGAGTGCCATGGCTTCAGCCTAGCTCACAGCAACCTCAAACTCCTGGGCTCAAGCAATCCTCCTGCCTCAGCCTCCCAAGTAGCTGGGACTACAGGCATGCGCCACCATGCCTGGCTAATTTTCTATATATATTAGTTGGCCAATTAATTTCTTTCTATTTATAGTAGAGACAGGGTCTTGCTCTTGCTCAGGCTGGTTTCGAACTCCTGACCTCGAGCAATCCGCCCTCCTCAGCCTCCCAGAGTGCTAGGATTACAGGCGTGAGCCACCTCGCCCGGCTTAGCACTACCATAACTTTTAATTCCTCCTTTAATTTATACTCACAGTTGGAGCAGGAGCCATAATGCTCATTGGTACAGGAATCATTGGAGTTCCTAAAAAAGAAAAAAGCATAATGAGTCTTAAGAATAGTATTATAAATAATTGTATTCTATATCAACTACATACAAATAAGTATCCTCATTCCTAGTTAACATAAATACAAACATAGGACAAATGAAAATAAAATACTGATGAATATGTCTTGTTTTCAAAAGCAATGTGGTATCAGATCAATCTACATAGACTTACAAAAAACCCTATTCTTAAAGCAAAATGGCTATCAAAACATGCTTCTGCCTTAAGGAATAATAAAATTCTGGATAGTCATCCATTCATGTTTATATGGTTCAGGGATCCTCAAAATCAGCACTTTTCACAAACACATACAGGTTCACTTTATGGGTGAACAATGGAATTAATGAATCCTTTACAGGTAAAAATACGTTGTACAACATGGTTGACTACAGTTAACAATATACTGTATTCTCCAAAATTGCCAAGAATGGAGTTTTAAGTGTTTGCACTACAAAAAAAAAGCATGTGAAGTAATGCATATGTAAATTAGCTCAATTTAGCCAGACCACAATGCACATTTCAAAACATGTTGTACACAATAAACATATACAATTTTGTCACATAAAGCAAAAGCAAATCCTTTGAAAGTTTTTATTTTAAGTATCAAATGAGAAATTAATCTGAAAGCCTAAGAATCTTATTCTGGGTTGTTTCACAGAAAATTAAAATCATGCAAAAACTGAGATCAACAGCCAGTTGTGGTAGGTGTATCCTGATGCCTGTATCCTGGTGCTTTGGGAGGCCGAGGTGGGAGAATCACTTGAGGCCAGGAGTTGGAGAATACAGTAAGCTATAATCACGCAACTACACTCCAGCCTGGATAACAGAGCAAGACACTGTCTCTAATTTAATAAATAAATAAATAAATAAATAAATAAATAAATAAATAAATAAATAAGCAAACGTATGTATGTCACATCAGTAATCTCAGTCACTATCACAGAGGAAACCAATCTCTTACGACAAGTATCTGCTGCTCTGAATAACACATTCTGAGGGTTTAGGAGCTGTCAATGGCTACTTACCACTGACAACTTATGGGTGTCTGCTTTCAACTGCATTGTTTACTAATTAATAGCTTTGTGTCCTTCCTTATTTACAAAACTAAGAAAGAAATTGTACTATTTGAGAACTAAGGAAAAAGTTGCAATGAAAGAAAAATTAAACATTTGACTACATTCTGAACATAAATTTTTTTTTTTTTTTTTTTTTTTGAGACAGAGTCTCACTTTCTTGCCCAGGCTAGAGTGAGTGCCGTGGCGTCAGCCTGGCTCACAGCAACCTCAAACTCCTGGGCTCAAGCAATCCTCCTGCCTCAGCCTCCCAAGTAGCTGGGACTACAGGCATGCGCCACCATGCCTGGCTAATTTTCTATATATATTAGTTGGCCAATTAGTTTCTTTCTATTTATAGTAGAGACAGGGTCTCGCTCTTGCTCAGGCTGGTTTCGAACTCCCGACCTCGAGCGATCCGCCCGCCTCGGCCTCCCAGAGAGCTAGGATTACAGGCGTGAGCCACCGCACCGGGCCTTCTTTTTTGTTTTTTAAGACAGGGTCTCACTCTGTCGCCTGAGTGCAGTGGTGTCATCATAACTCACTGCAACATCAAACTCCTGGGCTCCTAGACTTTAGTGATCCTGTTGCCTCAGCCTCCCAAGTAGCTGGGACTACAGGCATGCGCCACCATGACCAGCTAATTTTTTTCTATATATTTTTAGCTGTCCAATTAATTTCTTTCTATTTTTAGTAGAGATGGGGTCTCACTGTTGCTCAGGCTGGTCTCGAACTCCTGAGCTCAAACAATCCACCCACCTCGGCCTCCCAGAGTGCTAGGATTACAGGTGTGAGCCACCACTCTCACCCAGCCCCTTTATTTTCTTATAATTCATTTAAAATAATTTCAGTTTTCACATTATGATTTTTAAAAAGTACAAATCAAGATTCCTAACAATAAGGATACACCAAACTGCAAAATAGAAAAAAGAGACGTCAGAATCAAATTAGGGTTCAATTCTTGGTTCTAACAACTTTTAGTTATGCAACCTTGGGCAAGCACTTTAACCTCAGTTTCAGTTTCCTCAATTCTATTTCCTCAAAGTGTCTGTGAAATCGAGATAATTTAATGTGAACCCACTTAAAACTAAATCAAGTTGTATCTAAATTTTTCACCTTAACTTTACAAAACAAAAACTCCATTTATCAATTATAATCTATGTGTAAACTTTCTGTTCAAGAAAACATACACAAAAAGACATCTTGAAAAAAAATTTTCCTTTTTACAGTTACTCAAAGTTTAATAGTATGTTTCCAGCCAGGCATGGTGGCTCACGTCTGTAATCCTAGCACTCTGGGAGGCCGAGGGGGGTGGATTGCTCGAGGTCAGGAGTTCAAAACCAGCCTGAGCAAGAGCAAGACCCCGTCTCTACTATAAATAGAGAGAAATTAATTGGCCAACTAATATATATAGAAAAAAATCAGCCAGGCATGGTGGCGCATGCCTGTACTCCTAGCTACTCGGGAGGCTGAGGCAGCAGGATTGCTTGAGCCCAGGAGTTTGAGGTTGCTGTGAGTCAGGCTGAAGCCATGGCACTCACTCTAGTCTGGGCAACAAAGCGAGACTCTGTCTACAAAACAAAACAAAACATTAAGTAGATCAACTGTTTGTAACCTACATGGTATGAATCAATTCCAGTAAACTGTTTAAACATCCCAGATGATTTTGATACTTACCCAGGTATAGAAGAAACTACTGCCATAAAAAAATGAAAATCCATCATTTCCAGAATGATGCTGAGAGACATCTGTACTACTAACAGTCACACACATAAAATTTTCCTAAAGTAGTATCATAATGACAAAAGTACAGGACAAAAAACAGTAACAATAAACTTACCTGGAGGTACAGGTGGAGGAAAGCCAGGAAACTGTGGGGGTGGGATCCCTGGTGGGAGTGCTGGGATTCCCATGGGAGGGCGATTCAAATGAGGGGGGAAAGACATTCTTACTGCAGCGGTCTAAAGAAAAAAACCATGACAAATCATTTTATTTGAAAAACTTTACAACTTGATATGCCTGGTTTGTTGGCCTTCATTTTTAGAGTATCTGCAAAATTCTAAAGTTTTCTTACCCAAAGGAGTTGGCAAAGACCCTCTTTTCTCTGTCTGTCCATTGAGAATTTTTAAAACTTAGATCTTTTCTAAAATAAGTTGCCAAAATGTACACGATCTAAGTTCAGGATAGACTCCTACAATCATGTGGGAATACATATAAAGGAAGAAAAAAATTTTGAGGTTCAGTTAATATCCGAAAATTAAATGCCATACATCAACGAATCTTTTTAAACCAAACTCAGAATCCAGAGGGTATCTAACAGGTTTTTTTAAAAGTGTTCTGATGCATTTATTTTTTAAATACCCATCAGCACCCTGAAAACTAAATTTACAAGGTTACACAGTATTTGTTGATTCAATCTTGGCCAGTTCCTAAAGTATAAATGTGTCTGTAAACTACACACCTGGGAGGGAAAAACTGCTGACATCAGGTCACATAGTAACAATTCAAATATAAAGAGAACATACAACTGTTGACAATAAGTCATAATTTTTCTTAAACTTAAAAGTAAACCTCTTAACCATTCTTGAATCAAATTTAGGAATCAGAAGCTAGTATTTGATTTTTAAAGATGTAAGAACATATTTAACTGTTTTGTTTAGTTTGTAACATTAAAGGAAACTGTCCTTTAGCTAAATGAACACGAGTATTTACAACTTTCCCTCCATCAAAATTTTATTTTTGTTGACATACTTAAGCATCCAGAAATATTGGAAAAAGTAGACAACAATGTTAGGATGTCCTAGGAGGGTTCCATGCACCAATTTAAAAAAAGTAGCTGGGCACAGTGGCTCACGCCTCTAATCCCAGCAACTCAGGAGACTGAGGAAGGAGGACTGCATGACGCCAGGAGTTTGAGACCAGCCTGGGCAAAAACAGCCAGAAGCCAGGCATGGTGGCACATGCCTATAGTTCCAGGTACTCAGGTGGCTGAGGCAGGAGGATCACTCTTCAGCCCAAAAGTTTGAGGCTGAATTTGCAACTGAGTTATAATCATGCCACTGTACTCTAACCCAGCCAACCGAGTGAGAACTTGTCTCAAAAAACAAAACAAAACAAAAAAGTAGCTAAAATAAGTGGGATGATTCCCCTATCATTGATTCCTCTAAAATTGGTGATTTGATAAATAGATATATCTGTTGGGACAGTAGGAAAAATTCCCCAACTCATAAATGAAATCCCCCTACTCTGTAAGTGAAGTCTATAGTTGATAAAAGTGATTTTACACTAGGAGGCAGAGGTGGGCAGATTGCTCGAGGTCAGGAATTCGAAACCAGCCTGAACAAGAGGGAAACCCTGTCTCAACTAAAAATAGAAAGAAATTAATTGACCAACTAAAAATATATATATATATAGAAAAAATTAGCCGGGCATGATGGTGCATGCCTGTAGTCCCAGCTACTCGGAAGGCTGAGGCAGTAGGATCACTTGAACCCAGCAGTTTGAGGTTGCTGTGAGCTAGACTGATGCCACGGCACTCACTCTAGCCTGGGCAACAAAGTGAGACTTTGTCTCAAAAAAAAAAAAAGCTATTTAAAATTTTTTTTCCTGCTATTTTCTCTCTTTTGTGTTTTTAATTGTTCTACTCACCCTTCAGAAGAGAGGAAATAAAAAGTGCACGTCTTCCACTTCCTTGCTCCCTAACCCCAACAGTTTAGTATATATTGCTGTGTTCTTCTAAATATCTTTCCATACATAAAAACTAATATATAATCATTTGTATTTTTCTACAATATAATCGTGCTATACTGTCCCATGAATTTCTGCATCATCATTGACATCTCTTCATGTCAGTTTATTAAGTTTTATTTCAGTTTTTATAATATAGTAAATTATTACAATACAGACAAAACAGTTGGCTCCACTTTTTTACGTCTTACAAATAATGTTTAACAGTCTTGGACTTATTAGGCATATAACCAACCATATACATCTGTGCAGGTAATTCTACAGTACAGATTAGTACTAGATCTATGTATCTACACTTTACCTCCAAATCATCCCCCAAAACTGGTGTACAAATTTATATTCCCACCACCCATACATAGGTATGCCCTTTCCTCATCATCACTGGAATAAATCAGCGTTAAACTAATAACAATATAAGTAAAAATGCTCTTATTTCAATTTACATTTCCCTTATCACTAATGAGGTTGAGTATCTTTTTACCTGTGTATTGGTAATTTCTTTAAAACAGAAAAGCATGTCCTTCATGCTCACAACTGTTCTCCCTCCAACTATTCCTTTGACTTAGTAATTAGGATAATACAATATTCTATAAAATCTAAACTTCAACTTCAGCAAATACAGTATACTTAAAATATTTAGAAAAAAACTCTACAGGTAAAGGAATTCCTAAGATGATTTCATGTACTTAGCAAATAAAGTACCAGAAAATGCTTTAAAATATTACGTAAGTATCAGCATATATTAACACAAGGAAAACACAAGATTATAAAATTACTAATGTGTTGAGTTTTTAAATAATCTTTTCATAATACTCTTGCCCAAAAACAAAAACAAGTATTCCAGAGGATGTATCTCCTTTTTAAACAGAGAAGGCTACTGTCCTACTTACAGAAGCTCTTGTATTATCATTATAATACTCTATCTCAGCAATTTCTTAGGAGGGCAGTTGATTTTAACACCTGTTGAATAAATAAATTGATTAATGAATCAATCAGTAAACAAACTCTGAGGAACTCAACAGATTTATTAAGCTACCTCATGTTGGGTACTATGTTAGCAATGGCCCTGTGCCTGGCCTCACAACGGTTATAAGATTGGGGCTTGAATTCATCTTTAGAACCACTTTTTTCCCACTACTATAAAATATAAATAATATTTAAAAAGTAAAATTCTGTACTATGGATAGTCCCTTTTTTCCCTTTAAGATAATGGCCCCCTAAAGAAATTCAGAAAACAAACATTTCTGGTGATCTTTCATAATTTTGGTTTTTTTTTGAAACAGGGTCTTTTTGTTTTGTTGAGACAGGGTCTTACTCTGTTGCCCAGTCTAGAGTGCAGTGGTGTCATTGTAGCTCACAGCAACCTCAAACTCCTGGGCTCAAGCCATCCTCCTGCCTCAGCCTCCCAAGCAGCTGGGACTACAGGCACATGCCACTGTGTCTAATTTTTCTATTTTTATTAGAGATGGGGTCTCATACTTGCTCAGGGTGTTATCAAACTCCTGAGCTAAAGTGATCCTCCTGCCTCTGCCTCCCAGAGTACTAGGATTACAGGAGCCACCTCGCCCAGCCAATCTTTGATAAATATTAATGCTCACTTAACATAAAACTATATGTTGAAATAAGCAGTTTTAGAAAATTAAAGTGTCAACTACTTATTTTGACATAGTTTTGTTTTGCCATGTGAAAATGATTGAGAGTAAACTTTTATAACCAATGAGCAAATCTTATCAGTTGTTACCTACAAATGATAAATAAAATGAATTTTAATACTCTTATAATAATAATTTATACAGACATTGAAGTTGGTAGGTACTTCGTGGAAAAACAAAGCAGGGAAGAGAGCTAGGGAGTGGTTTATTTTTTTTCTTTTTGAGACAGTCTCACTCTGTTGCCTGGGCTAGAGTGCTGTGGCATCAGCTTAGCTCACAGCAACCTCAATTCCTGGGCTCAAGCGATCCTTCTGCCTCAGCCTCCCAAGTAGCTGGGACTACAGGCATGCACCACCATGCCCGGCTAATTTTTTCTATAGATTTTTAGTTAACCAATTAATTTCTTTCTATTTTTAGTAGAGACGGGGTCTCCTTCTTGCTCAGGCTGGTTTCGGAATTCCTGAGCTCAAACAATCCTCCAGTCTTGGCCTCCCAGAGTGCTAGGATTACAGGTGGGAGCCACCATTCCTGGCCAGGGAGTGGTTTATTTTAAATATGGTGATCAGGCTTCACCACAGGTGAAGATTTCAAAGATTTTAAAGAGGCTGAGGCATGAAGTGCTATTCCTATCTGGGGAGAAGAATTTTGCAAGCAAAGGAAACAACAAATACAAAGAGACTGAGTGAGGTGGGCATGGCATGTTTGCAGGAGGACCAGTAAGGCCAACAGTAAGATTTCAGCAGAATAAATGAGGAAAGGCAATACTGAGTGTTATCTGGGGAGGGTATTCAGAGAGTGTAGGGCTTTTAACACACTGTGAAGGTTTTGGTTTTCATTCTGAATAAGATGAAAAACATTTGTAAGTGTTTTGTTTTTTTACTTGATTTACATTTTAATAGTATCACTGGCCACTGATTTAAGACTGGAAGGAAATAAGATGGAAGCCAAGAGACTACTGTCACAATCCAGGTAGATGAGATGGTGGCCTGGAACAGGAGGTAGTGATGAAGTTGGTATCAAGTTGTTCGATTCCTGATATATTTTGAAGGTAGCCAATAGGATTTGCTGAGGAATTGTATGTGAACTTTAAGGAAAAAGAGAGATGTAGAGTTATTTTATTAGCACTGAAATGATTTAAATAGCATTTTTAACAATATTAAAAGTGTTTTAATTTTGGAAGGTTCAATGCACCTTGATCTGCTAAGTATGAAACTTTATGTTCCCAAATAACAAAAACGAATACCTATGATGGAAGTGTTCCCCATCTGTAGGGTGGTGGTGGTCAAGCAGCTGTATGCATTTATTAAAACTCATTGAAATTAAAAGGGATGCACTTTATTGTGTGTAAATTTTATCTCAATAAATTTGGTCAAAAAAAGAGAAAAAAATAATTTATCTCTACTATCCAACACATACATGCACTTTGCTTTTTTCTTTCCCACTTTTTTCTCTGTAATCTTTCAAACCATTCTTTTTTTGCACTCCTGGGAATATCATAGGTATACAAAATATAGCAAAATACTGCTTGCTTACAAGCATTTCTCTATTGCAGACTTATCCAGATAGAAACAAAGTATTTCACCAATGATAGATTTTTAGACTAGCTCTCCATCATCAGTACATTGGGTGTTAAATTTCCAGTAAAAATGAATCCATAGATTCCCTTAAGCAAACACTCACATACAACCTATTCATTCACTCAGTAAAAATCTACTTGCAATTATGAGCCAGGTCTGCAGAATTATTTTGTTCCATTCCCAAAGAAGAATAGGAAATGTTTGGTTAACAAAATTATTTCTTTTATTGTAAAGCTTTTCAGAAGCATGAAAATACTCAAAGGTTTTGAATCTCCATAAAGGGAGGTGATTTTGAGAGATTTCCACTTTGTCATTTCACCATTTCACAATGATTAAAAAACAACACAATTTACAAAGAAAAATTAGTGGTTGCCCAGAACTGCCATAGAACAGAGTGACTTGCAAACAGGCAGGAGATAATGGGTACACAACTCTGTACATTTACAAGTTAATTTTATATGTCAACCACATCTTCGTAAAACTGCTTTTTTAAAAAGTTTGTTATGGCCAGGCCCGGTGGCTCACGCCTAGCCACCTGTAATCCTAGCACTCTGGGAGGCCGAGGCAGGAGATTGCTCAAGGTCAGGAGTTCAAAACCAGCCTGAGCAAGAGGGAGACCTTGTCTCTATTATAAATAGAAAGAAATTAATTGGCCAACATATATATATTTATATTATAATATAAAATTAGCTGGGCATGGTGGCACATGCCTGTAGTCCAGCTACTTGGGAGGCTGAGGCAATAGGATTGCTTGCCAGGAGTTGACGTTGCCGTGGCTAGGCTGACGCCATGGCACTCCATCTAGCCTGGGCAACAAAGTGAGACTCTGTCTTAAAAAAAAAAAAAAAAAGTTGGTTATCATCCTGCAGGAGCTGGATTTTATGAAGAAATAAATTTTAAAATGATGATATCAATTCAGGACAACTGCAAAATCTAGTATAGACCTGTAGATTAGGTAATACTGTATCAATGTTAATCCTGTTTTTGATCATTGTACTGTTGTTAAATAAAGATGTGCTAGTTTTTAGGTAACATATATGGGCTAGGGCTCATGGCTGCAACTTTCTAGCATACATTTCAGAAAAACTAGAGAAAGGGATAAGCAAATTGGTAAGATGTTAACATTTAGGAAGTGTGTGAAAGATATTTGAAATTTTTTTACTATTCTTGCAACTTTTTTTTGTAAATTTAAAATTATGTCAAAATAAAATTTAAAAAAGCAATAATTCTGAGTTGTGGAATACTCTTCCCTTTATTTTCTTCACATTTCAAATTTTTAAAAAAGAAGAGAAGCTATTAAGAAGCTTTAAGAAGGAATCAAACCCCTTTCAAAAATAGCAGTGGAAGTATCAAAGACAATCAGAAAATTTTAAAAGTACACAGAATATCTCTGCAAAGATGTTAAGATTCATCAATTACTTTTGCTTCCAAAGCTACAAATAATCAAAATAATTCTGCTCCAAATCATGTATAAAGAAAAAGTAATTGCTAATTTGTTTGTGGACAGAAAGGTAACTTAACTTGAAAACTTCAAATTCCTATTTGGTATGAAGCAGTTACCCAATGTAACATAGATTAATCTTATATAAAAAATATATCCACCAGCCTGGAGCAAGATCAAGACCGAGTCTCTACAAACAGTTGAAAAATTATCGAGGTGCAGTGGCACACGTCTGTAATCCCAGCTACTGGGGAGGCTGTGGCAGGAGGATGGCTTGAGCCCAGGAGTTTGAGGTTGCAGTGAGCTACGATGATGCCACTACAATCTAGCCCAGATGACAAGAGTGACCCAGTCTCCAAGGGGAGGGATATATATATATATATATATATATATTATATATATATATATATATATCCATCCAGAGCCTCAAAACAGTGGAATAAAAAGACAGTAAACCACAAAATATAAAAACTTAGTCAAAACCATTATTAATACATGGTGCCTATATGCAACAGTGGGACATTTTTTTCCTAAAAATCTTTTGGTATTCTACAGGGGGTGGTAGAAGGATCCACTTTTGCAACCAAAGAGAGAAAAATCTGGTAATTCCAAAAAAGATGATTTAATAAAAATATCAACATTTTTATCTACTTTTGTTTACAAAAGTTTTTCATCATACATTCTCATTTAAACTCCCAAATTACTTGGTGTAGATTTGTATTATTCTTTTTACAAATGAAGAAGCTAACAAGTCCAAAGGCACACAACTAGAGGGCAGAGACTCCAAGGTCCCCACTACCCTGAAATTACCAATTCAAAGGCTGTTTTCACTATACCACAAAGCCTCTTCCTAGTAATAACAAGTCAATAAGGGCTGGGCGTGGTGGCTCACGCCTGTAATCCTAGCTCTTGGGAGCCGAGCGGCGATTGCTCAAGTCAGGAGTTCAAACCAGCCTGAGCAAGAGCGAGACCCGTCTCTACTATAAATAGAAAGAAATTAATTGGCCAACTGATATATATAAAAAAAAATTAGCCGGCATGGTGGCACATGCCTGTATCCAGCTACTCGGGAGGCTGAGCAGAAGGATCGCTCCAGCCTAGGAGTTTGAGGTTGTTGTGAGCTAGGCTAATGCCACGGCACTCACTCTAGCCTGGGCAACAAAGCGAGACTCTGTCTCAAAAAAAAATAAAATAAAATAAAAAAAAAATAAACAAGTCAATAAGAAAGGAACTTCTCAAGGACTCAATTTTGATTTTGTTTATAAAAGTCTATTCAGAATATACAGGCTCTTGCACTTCACTGAAAATTCTTAAATAATAAATATCAATTAATATGGACTTAATCACTTACTATATGTTACCTGGATACCATACTAAGAATTTCACATAGGTTTTTCTCAATTAACCCCAGCCCCAATAACCTATAAAATAGATACTATTATAAGCTTCATCTTACAGGTGAAGAAAACCGATGCCTTAAGAAAAGTTAAATTAATTAGCATATTATAATATCTATTTGAATCATGAGGAACTGACGACCAACTGAATGGCTTTCTGGGCCTCTGAATGTTTTTAGAAATAACCTTTAAAAAATTAGAGTTCCAAAGACAATACAAAATTGTTTATACACTACTGCCAACTACCTAAGACACAGTACTTCACACTAGAGCAGTCTGGTGCAAGAGAAGTCCAATCTCTTCCCTCCTTTTGGTCGACTCCACTTTGCCCAGTATTAAAAATGGCATTTCCATGGCAATATAAATCCGTACTACATAACTTCAAAATAATCTTCATACTCCTAGATCTATTTTGAAAAACGTTATTTAAAAAGCAATATTGAAAACCAAAGAACTAACATTTCAAAGAGGAACTTAGTAATCGCCTAGAATGAATGGCGGTATGGTTTACTGCACCCTCCAATGCGGAAAGGGGGCAGGACGACAATGCTCATCAAAATCTTAAGCAGGCCAAGAGAGTGCTAAGAAAGGTAGGTATCAACTACGTGGGGGAGGGCGGGAGGAGGGGAAGCAGTTCACTTGGTAGCGGGCTGTAGATGACCAAGAGGAAGGTAAAGAAATCCGTTGGTGGCCAGCACCTCGCTAAAAAGGGTGTGTGCAGGCTGACTTCACGGCAGAGCCTGTGACGAGTGTGTCCGAGGCCCGGAAAATTTACCGTAGGCTCCACAAGCTCGGGTAAGTCAGGGGAAAAGGGTCCCCAGATGCAAGGCAACCGTGTTCTGGCTAACGTGGAGCCCAGAAAGGGCCGAGACAAGACGATTCACTCCGTGGCGGAACGTGGAAGGAAAAGGGAAAGTGGGCGACAATGCAAAGAGGAAAGCTCAGGCAGTAGGTTCGACCTCCACGGGCTCCGGCTGGGCCCACTGGCTTTTGAGGCCTTAGAGAGGCGAAGAAACCCCAAGCCTCGTGCCCGACCCCTCCCCCATCCTAACCCCCCCCACCCCACCCCGGCCCTTTGGCAGCCACCCCGGCTTTTTCTCCTCCCCTAGCAGAGGTACCCGGTCTCCCGGTTTCCACACGCGTTCACAGGCGTGAACTCACCCGCCGCTGAGGAAACAGTACTGTTTTCGCGGTCTTCTGTGATCCAGGTTACGAGTGGGCTCCACCGGTTCGAGGTTTCTGCGCGCCGCTCGCCCGGGAGACTGGTTCCGAAGCGCCTACTCGCACAGGCCGCAAACACAGCCGCGCAGCGCGGGGAGCTTCTGGAGGTCTTCCTCTTGCCCGGCGTGCACTGCGCCCGGGGGCGTGGAGAGGAGGACCATAGAGAAGAACGTATATAGATAGTCTCCGCTGTTGGCTCTGACTCACCCAGCGAAGACGAATAACCATAGAGAAGGAGCGCCCACTGGGGACTAGAAAGGCTCGAGCTGTAAATTACGACCCACCCTGCCATTTTTGATTGGAGGTAATTGAATCTTATGACTACGCGACGCCATCTTGAGGTCAAGGTTCCGGCTGGGCACGGCCTGAGGGTTAGAAGATTTCTCACTTTCAGAAATTTTTCGGGATCAGTACCTTGCTCTGTGATTCATTGGCGTTCGAGGAACTGATAACTGAGCCTGCCCCACAACTTCAGTAGAAACCCCGAGTGCTAATTTTTCCCTAGAAAACAACTACTCTTGATAAGAAATAACTGGCAAATGCTGTGGTGGTTTTGTGAAGAGTGGGCAAGCACAGAAAAACTGATGCGCTGGCGTAGGGCTAAAGAGGTGGCTAGAAGATGTTTGAAAATGTAAAAAGGCCCGTAAGACGGTTTAACACAGCTTTCATTCTGTAATGTAAACATGGTAAAAATAACTTCACTTATTAGAGGAAATGAATAAAACTAATCATGAATTATTACATTAGATCAATTTATGTACCTTATAGGCAATATCTATTTATACACCTTTGCTTCCCAACTGCTTGCTTCTCGGAAAGCTTATAATTTATTCAGTATAAAGTTATTGCCTCCCTGAGTACCAGACGCTGTGCTAAGTGCTGAAGTATGAAGGTAAATGGGAGTGAGATTTGTTCCTATCCTGGAGGAATGGTGGGCAAGGTGGAATACATGACAAACCCTAACCATCGTGTATAGAACTGAAACATACCTACACACTGTCTTGTCTGCCTTTCCTACTTAATTTTACTCTAAAGCGCTTATAATGTCTACCATGCCGTATATTTATCTTATTGATTTTATGGTTTGCCCCTACCTGGCTAGATCGTAAAAGCTTAGAGAGCATGGATTGTCTGTATTTTTCACTACTATAGCCTCAGTGCTAGAACAGCAAGCACTCAGTAAACAATTGTTGAATGAAAGAAATGATTACCATATACTGGCTACAAACAGCACACAAAATGCAAGGGGAACACTAATAAGAAAGTCTTCCAGCCTGAGCAAGAGCGAGACCCTGTCTCTACTAAAAAAATAGAAATTAGCTGGACAACTAAAAAAATTATATATATATATAATTTAGCCATATATATATAATTTAGCCACAATATATACATATTTATATATAAATATATAATTTATATATATAAATATATATATTTAGCCAGGCATGGTAGCGCATGCCTTGTAGTCCCAGCTACTCAAGAGGCTGAGGCAGGAGGATTGGCTTGAGCCCAGGAGTTTGAGGTTGCTGTGAGCTAGGTTGATGCCATGGCACTCTAGCCCGGGCAACAGAGTGAAACTCTATATCAAAAAAAAAGAAAAAGAAAGTCTATATATAACTCAATACCATCTGTAAAATTTACAACCATCTCTATTTCCGCTTGTCAGGCTTCCTTACTATTAAATAATGTTAGTAATGCCTATTCCCCAGGACTATTGCAAGGATTAAATTAACAAATGTATATGAAAGTACTTTCTTCAGTAAAGTGCTAGGCTAATGCTATTTACAATTCATAAATAAAAAGACTTTGTGCCTTTTTTTTTTTTTTTTTGAGACAGAGTCCTGCTTTGATGCCCAGGCTAGAGTGAGTGCCTTGGCGTCAGCCTAGCTCACAGCAACCTCAAACTCCTGGGCTCAAGCAATCCTGCTGCCTCAGCCTCCCAAGTAGCTGAGACTACAGGCATGTGCCACCATGCCCAGCTACTTTTTTCTATATATATTAGTTGGCCAATTAATTTCTTTCTATTTAGAGTAGAGACGGGGTCTCGCTCTTGCTCAGGCTGGTTTCGAACTCCTGACCTCGAGCAATCCGCTGGCCTCGGCCTCCCAGAGTGCTAGGATTACAGGCGTGAGCCACCTCGCCCGGCCAATTTTGTGCCTTTTTTTAACAAGCACAGAAATAAACAGAAATCCTCTCAGGTTACTGTGTATCCCTCCGTATTAGAAACATTGTACACAAATTCACATATTATTTCTATAATAAAGCCTTAAAGAGAAAGCTCTTAACACCCCATAAGCTCCACCTCCTGTCAGATCAGCAGTGGCGTTAGATTCTGCATTATGGTGAGTTGTATATTTATTTCATTATGTATTACAATATAATAATAATAAAAATAAAGTGCGCAATAAATGTAATGCGCTTGAATCCTTCCAAAACAACCACACTCCACACACACACACACACACCTGCGAGTCTGTGGAAAAAATTGTTTTCCATGAAACAGGTCCTGCTGCCTTAAGACACAGGGATAAATTTATAACCTAATAGAAAGGGCCTAATTGACCCTTTTTTTGTACCAGACACCATTTTGAGCATTTTGCAAATATCAACTCCTTTAATCCTCACAACAACCCCTTAAAATAGAAACTGTTGGCGACTCTCGCGCTCGCTGAAGATGGCGGCAGCTGTGTGCAGGTTGCTCCGGGCCTCGGTTGCTCGACAGAAATTGTTGCTTTTAGCGACAAAGCCAATGAATTTCGGGACGTGAACTGTGAAGTTGTTGCAGTGTCAGTGGATTCCCACTTTAGTCATCTTGCCTGGATAAATACACCAAGGAAGAATGGGGGTTTGGGCCACATGAACATCGCGCTCTTGTCAGATTTAACCAAACAAATTTCCCGAGACTACGGTGTGCTGTTAGAAGGTCCTGGTCTTGCACTCAGAGGTCTCTTCATAATTGACCCCAATGGCGTCATCAAACATCTGAGTGTCAACGACCTCCCAGTGGGCCGAAGTGTGGAAGAGACCCTCCGCTTGGTGAAGGCATTCCAGTTTGTGGAAATTCATGGAGAAGTCTGCCCAGCAAACTGGACACCGGATTCTCCTACAATCAAGCCAAATCCAACTGCTTCCAAAGAGTACTTTGAGAAGGTAAACCAGTAGATCGCCCCATGTGTACCTGCAGCTTCTCACACCAGAGAAGAACCACAGTTGGAACCTGCTTTTAGCATTTAAGAGATGATTGTTTGTAGAAGGCAAAGAATCAATTATGCTTATATTCATAAATACTACTCTTTTGTTTTTGTAACACTGGCTAAGACTTTTTAAATGTGGTTAGTTATTAGTATTATAAAGAGTTCTTTATTGGTAACATCTTGATGGCTAGCTAGCTAGTTTCTACAGAATGCCTTGTTCACCTATTTCTTAGATCATGTCTTCAAAGGGTAAAAGAAACACTCTTTTTGCTTAGCCTTATTTAAACCTTTGTCTACACCAAAGTAGTACAACAAGTATCAAAAGCCTCTGATCAAGGGTCCTGAAATTTTGTTTTTAAATTTCTTTGTATTACACTGAATCTTCTTTTAAGGTAACAAGGATCACAGTTTTAAGTTGTTAGCATCAGCAGTCTAACTTAACATCTCCCAATGGATGTATGTGTGATTGAAGAAAATGTGAATCATGTTATAAAAAAGCACGGCAACGTGACTTAACTGATCATGCATGGTCCTCATCCCTGAGATTTAGAGTTTACATAGTCCTTTTACTGATTGTATTCATTAGCTAACTTAGTGTCTACATGTTTCCAGGCATTGATTAGGTATAATTATAAAGGATATTTATTCAATCCAGGGATTGCATTTTGAAATTATTATAATTATTTTCTTTCTTGAAGTGTTCATTATAAAATATATGAAAAAATAAACATATTTTAAAATAAAAAAAAAAAAGAAACTGTTGTGATACAGATGAAGAAACTAAGACTTGGAGAAGTTAAATAACTTGCCAAAGGTTACAAATAGTAAGTGAGCCAGTCTGATTTCTGAGTTCATGCTCTCAAACGACACACTATACTGCTTCATCCTATCTGCAATAATGCTAAAAGGAGGGGGAGGGAATTCTATATTTTTCACCTAACTTGAACTTGGGAGCATTTAAGCTTGGAATTAAATGAAATCATCCAGTAGCCCAATGGATAAGGCCTCCTAAATGAAATCATCACTGAAGAAAGCAGAGCTAAGAGAGAATGACAGATTTTTGACAATATCAGTTGAAAACATAGTTTTAGCCATTCCTGAATCCAGCTGTACTGTTAGACTTCTCCTTTGTAAGGCAATCAATTCTGTTTTCTAAATCAGTTTTTTTTGAGACAGAGTCCCACTCTGTTACCTGGGCTAGAGTGCTGTGGCATCAGCCTAACTCACAGCAACCTCAAACTCCTGGGCTCAGGTGATCCTCCTGCCTCAGCCTCCTGAGTAGCTGGGACTACAGGCATGTGCCACCATGCCTGGCTAATTTTTTCTATATATTATTCGTTGGCCAATTAATTTCTTTCTATTTTTTAGTAGAGGTGAGGGTCTTGCTCTTGCTCAGGCTGGTTCCGAACTCCTGACCTTGAGCCATCATTCCCCCACCCCCTTCACCCCCGCCTCCCCTCCCAGAGTACTAGGATTACAGGCTCACTGAGCCACCACACCGGGCCTGTTTTCTAAATCATTTTGAATTGAATTTTCTATTCCTTCTATAGAAAGAACCCTAAATGATAACACTTATATATCGCTTGTTGAGGACAGGCCAAGCCATTCATTGCAAGCCATTCACTTGCAATGCCAATCTACCTCCTCCGAGGTGTTTTTCCTTGCAGGCCCTTGTTGAGGAACGTGGCTGTAGATAATCTGGATATTGGTGGCCATATACTGTGCATTCTGACCCTATTTCTATGGCCATATCCGACCCACATCAGGTGACCAATTAAGAAAACCTTCCTTAAAAGGAAAAACATTATTTAGCTGGACCAAGTAGATCTTCACAAGAATTGAAACTGGAGCTGTTGTGGGGAGAGCCACTTAATCCATAGCAGAAGAGAAAAGTAGTGATAGGGCAGGTGAATCATGGTAAAAACGGAAGGTCGCTAGAATAGGCACCTTTGTAGCCTGGATTAGGAGGAAGATTTGAAATTTTGTCAAAGCACTTTAGCTGTCATCAGAACTGCTGGAGCTAAGGTGGTATCTTAATGTTCTAGTGTCCCAGAAGCCCAGCCATGTAGCTTCAGGTCCTGCTTCATCATACCACTGTGTGAAAATCATCTATTTATTCACATAGTTTCTCCTATTAGACATTGAATTGAGTTCCCTGAAGAAAAGAATCATATGTTTATTCAACTTTAAATGGCCAAGCTAGACATATAATATTCACAAAGTTAATGTTTGATTAAAAAATCAGAATATATCTTTATAACATAGCAAAATAATTTTAAGCAGCCAGATAGCAATCAGTTTTCTTCTCTACATCTTTGCCTAGTGCTCTAATTCAGGCTCCTTTGCATCAAGATTCAGACTTTATGTAAATTTCAAAGTACTGCCACTTGACGTTATTAAAATATTTCTGTAATTATAGGAGCTAGATGTGTTATTGATAACCCTCTAAAATTATCGAAGAAAAAGTAATAATATTGGGTAAAAGAGGAAATGAGTGTTTAAAGAAAAGGCAATTTTCCATATAAAGTGGTGAGTTAGACTATGCTTTGGGTTGTGAAAAAGAGATACTCAGGTAGCCTAGAAAAATGGAGAGTTTGTTGAAATGGAATGATAGAAATATGTAGAGTATTGGCAGCATCATTTAGGCTAGCCTGGTGATCTGTGGAAGTCAAGGAAGACTTTCTAGAGGAAATATTATCCTGAGCTGTGTCTTAACCAGGACTGTAGAGGGAGGACAAATAATATAGCATTGGCATTAGCACAAAATATGGAGATCAAGCCTGGAGTCCTTAACAAGGTGGAATACCTGAACTTTACCAAGTTGTTAGGGCCGTGAAAGGAGGTTAAAGTGGTCCCATTTTATTAGTGGTCCAAGGCTCTTAGCAAAAGCAAACACATTTTCTCTATGGAGAATTTAGGCTCCAAGATTCAGACATCAAATATTAGCTTAAAATTAAAAAGTCTAGGCCGGGCGCGGTGGCTCACGCCTGTAATCCTAGCACTCTGGGAGGCCGAGGCGGGCGGATAGCTCAAGGTCAGGAGTTTGAAACCAGCCTGAGCAAGAGCGAGACCCCGACTCTACTATAAATAGAAAGAAATTAATTGGCCAACTAATATATATATAGAAAAAATTAGCCGGGCATGGTGGCACATGCCTGTAGTCCCAGCTACTCAGGAGGCTGAGGCAGGAGGATCGCTTGAGCCCAGGAGCTTGAGGTTGCTGTGAGCTAGGCTGACGCCACGGCACTCACTCTAGCCTGGGCAACAAAGTGAGACTCTGTCTCAAAAAAAAAAAAAAAAGTCTGAAGGATTTTAGAAATATTAGGAACAAGTCACCATGAATGTGGCACACACATACACATAAAACCAATAAATTTAAATTTCCAATAAATTCAGATATTGAAATTATTACACATAGAACATAAAATAACTATGTATGAAATGTTTAAAGAAATAATTTTTTAATTAGCAAGAAACAAGAGATCAATAAAATGAGACAAATATAAAAATCAAATGCACTTTCAGAAATGAAAAATACAAATAACGAAATTTTTAAAACTCACTTCATAGATTACAGAGCAGATTAGGCACAGCTGAAAGAAAAAATAGTGACGATAGATACGAATAAATTACCCAGAGTGCAGCAAAAAAGATCAATAAAGCCAGGTGCCATGGCTGATGCCTGTAATTCCAGCACTTGGAGAATCCAAGGGGGGAAGTTCTCTGGAGGCCAGGAGTTCAAGACCAGCCTGAGTGACATAGTGAGACCCTGTCTCTACAAAAAATAGAAAGATTAGCTGGGTGTGGTGGCACTCACCTATAGTTTCAGCTACTCCAAAGGCTGAGGCAGGAGGATCATTTGAGCACAGCAGTTTGAGGCTATAGTGAGCTATGATGATGTCACTACACTCTAGCCCCAGTGTCACAGCAAGACCCTGTCTCAAAAAAAAAAAAAAAGAAAGAAAGAAAAAAGATAAGTAAATGGAAAATATGGGAGTTAAGAAACAGAGAGAATAGAATTAAATGTTCTCATAGACCTCTAATTGGAGTTGCAAAAGAAAAGTGAGAGGCAGTATTCAAAGAAACAATTCAGATACAAGAAGTCCAACTATTTCCTTCTCTTCCCTTAATAAACAAACAAACAAAAAAGAAGTCCAACTATTATCAAGTTATGCAGGCCAGGCGCAGTGGCTCACGCCTGTAGTGCTAGCACTCTGGGAGGCTGCGGCGGCGGATTGCTCGAGGTCAGGAGTTTGAAACCAGCCTGAGCAAGAGCGAGACCCTGTCTCAACTATAAATAGAAAGAAATTAATTGGCTAACTAATATATATAGAAAAAATTAGCCGGCCATGGTGGCGCATGCCTGTAGTCCCAGCTACTCGGGAGGCTGAGGCAGCAGGATTGCTTGAGCCCAGGAGTATGAGGTTGCTGTGAGTTAGGCTGATGCCTGGGCAACAGAGTGAGACTCTGTCTCAAAAAAAAAAAAATTAAGCCTTAGCATATATGCCTCAGGACACAAGTTCAAGAATATTCATACTGCAATTTCTCATAAAGGCAAAAAAATACTGGAAACTACTCAAACATCTGACAAGAGAATAGATAAATGTATTTTTTTTTTTTGAGACAGAGTCTCGCTTTGTTGTCCAGGCTAGAGTGAGTGCCGTGGCGTCAGCCTAGCTCACAGCAACCTCAAACTCCTGGACTCAAGCAATCCTGCTGCCTCAGCCTCCCGAGTAGCTGGGATTACAGGCATGTGCCACCATGCCCGGCTAATTTTTTATATATTTATATTAGTTGGCCAATTAATTTCTTTCTATTTATAGTAGAGACGGGGTCTTGCTCTTGCTCAGGCTGGTTTTGAACTCCTGACCTTGAGCAATCCGCCCGCCTCGGACTCCCAGAGAGCTAGGATTACAGGCGTGAGCCACCGCGCCTGGCCTAAATGTATTTTTTTTAAGTCACATAATA